GATAGAAAACTGTCTAAGTCACAGCCATGGTAAGATGTGGCTGAAGTCTGACTGCTGAGAAAAAAAAGGTGCTTGAATGTTTCCTTTCTTATCTCCCTTAGCAGAGAGTACACAGGACTATCCATAAGAAAAGGAAAGGTGATAATGCCACCTCACAATTCAGAGCAGTGCACCATCTGACAGTTCACGAAAACAAACGATCAACTCGACCTGTCAAAGGATGCAGATCTTCATGTAAATTACTGATGTGTTTCCATCTCCTGGTATAACTTGCTAAGATGCTTATACAACTGAGCTTTTAATAATATCTTTACTTTACAGGTTAACTGTGAGCTTTAATCTGATTTAGTAAAAACAGCTTTTTATGAAGTTGTTACTTTTGTCAGACAGCTCTAGAAGTTTTCTATATCTGTACAAAGACTGCTATATCAAAATGATCAAAGTAAAGTTGAGATTATTTTGCGTGTCTATTCTGCATTAGTTAGGTCCTCATTTTAAGCCTTCCTTTATTGCCAGCCTTTAGGATTATCATTAATTAGTTTGACTTCAGTCACAGATACTAAAAGTCTTAATGAATGCAAAAGTTTAATTACATCATCTCTTCACCGAGAAGACACAATATGAGTGGCAAGAATGAAAGCAAACACTCTTATTTTGCCGTTACATTTGGTAACTTCCCTTTTTTTGTCTATTTTAACATGTGGCAAAGCATCTAAGATGTGCTTTTTGTAGTCCATCTTCAAAACATCGTTTGTACTACATTTCAAATCCCCATCAACATCTGCCATTATATAATTGAATCCTTAAAATCTTTCCTTGACCTCATGAAGTTTTATACTGAGGTAAAAAAAAAAAAAGACAAAAATGTCATCCATACATCTATCCATCCAATTCAGGGTCATGGGGGCTGGAGTCCAAGTTGACATGAGGTGAGATGCATTCAAATTCACACCTAAGGCCAATTGAGAATCATTAGTTGTACCCTGAGAGAACATGTAGCCTGAGAGAACACAGAAAAGGCCAACAGGTTGAGACCCAGACCCACCTTGCTGTTGAGGTAACAGTAATTACCACTATACTATCAGCTGCCCAGGAAACCACAACCCACAAACACAAAGAACTTTGAAGTGACTCTACTATACTACTCTCTTAGTCTCAGTGTCGTATTTTTTTATTTTATTCATCACGTTTCTTATTATTGCAATTTTTTGCTTTTCGTGATGCTTAGAAAACCGCATGTACAGAATATTCAGTCGGCATATCCTGAGTGCCATACCTGTCTTTTACCATGTCAGGACCCAACCTAGCAGTGACCATGGATACCACAGTTTGCCCTGCACCACTGCAACAGTCCATCACTGTAATCTATATGGTAATACTTCAAACAGTTTAGCCTGCACCTACTGTATTAACTGAATAAAAGAAACTAATTAAATAAAATAATTAAAAACAGCTTCTCTATATGAAATAATGAAATAATGAGAATCACTGCAATTAAAAAAATAGCATGAAAAAAACCTAACAATGCTACATTCAAGTTTCCAAGTTTGCAAAGAAAGCTACATTTGTTATTTCTTAATTGTCTGACTGATTTCTAAATTAGGTCGCTGACTGATCTATACAAAAAAATCAGTGCTTGTAGCCAAAGGTGTTTCATTTTCAAATGGTTTGATTTATTAAACCAGCAATACAACACTCAAAGATATTCAGTTCAGTGCCTCATAAAACAAAGAAAAGACAAAGCTCAACTGGGATTAGAGGAATTAGGCACATTGTGTTTCAAAATTACTTTATTAATATAATTATTAAAATAATTACTTAGAAAGAAAGAAACAAAATAGACTGGGTAACATCTAATTCACATTCAGAGATGGAAAGGAAATGTTTGTTTGGGGTTTTTTTTCCAAGAAGTTGGGGTCCTGAACAATTCCTAAAAAAAAAAAACCCCGGGAAAAAAAATATATATATATTTTTTTAGATATTTTCTTTTAGGTTTTAAAGGTTAAAGTGCAACAGATTAATGTTGTTATGTTTGGATCCCCAAGAGGTTTGTCAGTCTCAAAGATAACGGCATCTGCTGCCTGTCACATGCTATTCTACTGACAACTGCTGGCAGCAACACACAAAGAAAGCTAGTGTAAATAATGAACGATGTAAAAATAACAATGTGCTTCAGTAAGTTAATGCTGTGGATATAAAATGCTGCATGAAGAAAAAATGGCAAAACTGAGGCAAGCTTCTGTAAGTAGCACTTGGTAGTTGCAGACCCATCTCACTACTGCCAAGGCACTGACACCAAATGAACATCTAATGCATATCTGGCAATAAAATCCTTTCACAATTCCCAAAGGATCCGCTGCAGGTGTCACAGTTACAGGAAATGACACGCTTGCACAGTCCTGTACAGACTGTAATTGGCCAGGTACTTATGCAATGGGTGGTTTTGATGTGATTGACTGGTGCATTTCAAGAATAGACACCACCATCTGAAATCTTTTGTTGCGTAATCAGATGTAAATGTGATTAGTAGACAGCCTTACCTTCTTGCCTTACATAAAGACTAAAATTAGATCATCCACACAATGACACAAATAAAATTACGTTTGAAGCTTCCAACCATAAAATGTAGAGTTTGCGATATTCGGGCAGCTACCCGAACATACTCGCTAACCAGACAACAACATTTTTTCCTACATCTTTGCAGGGCTTAGACAAGTGTCAGGATGTTACAGTCCACCCAGTGTAGAAGCAAGTCAGGAAGTGTGCTCTTCACCAAATGTTTAGTTCTCCTCAGTGATGACAGTCTGCTAGACAGGTTGGTCACTCTATTAAATCAGAGTTCCTCCTCCCCAGAGGCTGAAGTAGTTCTTGGGAGATTAAGGTGATAGAGTGTGGGTAAAGACAGCTGCCTGGGTCATATGTCAGGGGAGAACCTAGACTGCATTTTTATAACCTTGATGGCCCTTTTTACTGACATATACAGTAAGCCCACAGCTTGCAGCAGAAAAGAACTTAGGTCATGCCAGACTATCGTGAGCCAGTCTCAGCTATGCATGTTCAGCCTTACAGAGCATTTATTCAGAATTCTCAGATTTGTTGATGAAGGATTAAAATGGCCGCTGGCCAGGAAGATTGCAATCCCCGTCCAAAGCTGCCTATTAGATATTTAAAACCCTTATCATCTGACAATTTTGTGAATAATTTCCATCATGTTATAATGCAGCAGAATTGCTAGGAGCCTTCAAATCATTTTCCTACATGATTAGAGAACACTGAAGCGCACTTAAGTTTATGCAATGTCTGATCAGACTAAAGGCTTTTCCTATTAGCATAATAAATGAATTAGAGCACCAGAGACAAGAATCGCTAGGCAGTTTTTCACCACAGGGAAATAATTTGGCCAATGTATTGTCTAACTGTTTGAGACAACAGTGGTGTGTCACCCAGCCTCAGCATGTTTCACCCTCCAGCGTTCCCGAAATCTTTCCATCCAACAAAAAGCCCTGCTGGTGCCCGGATTCTGCTGAACGTGGGGGTCCTATGATTTCTCTGCCATCTTCTGTTTTGTGATTAGTCAAAACATGACTGACACGGCGCGGACAGTAATGCGTCTCTGCGGCGACGTTCCATAAACACAAGTTGTTATCATGACGCTACATCTTTTCAGCAACACAGACTTAGTGTATTAAACACTGTGGCCTCAGGGCTCAGGGTTTATCCTATTATCACCTGCTCGTGTCTTCCCCTCCCCTTGTGTCTTAAACTAAGGTTATTGCTCATCCACAGTTCAAAAGAAGGTATTTTCTTTATCTATTTTTTACATGCTTGCCCTTCATATACTAAAGACACAAGCAGCAGCTGTTATTTCCATGAAGTGTACAAGTCTTTGTTAGAGAGATTTTGAAACTGCCTGGGTTCCTGTGAAGAGTTCTGTGTAAAATTTACACACATGACATGTGCCTGTTAGTGTCCATATGGGTGAGAGTGCTTCAGCACTCTGGGATAATGGTCTCAGAGGGCTGTGGCTGAGGGTGCGAACATATAGTGAACTCAGGCCACAGTCATTTACATCAGAAGCAGTCAGAACCATCGTCATTTTCTTTGGTTCTCATGCTGGATGTATACATTATGGATAATGAGGATTATAGGTCTCCTGGGACTGAATACTGTATAATTTACAAAGTGGTCTATGACACTTTTCTGCCCTTGAAACAGCACCACTGTCTTAGGACAGAGACTCGAAGAAGTGCTGGGTTGTGAGCTAAAGCTTGTTTAAGTCCTAGCAGAAACTTTAGTTTGATTTTTGGATTCATAGTTACAATTAACCAGCTGTACATTACGCCATCACCAGCCTCCACTCCAAAACAATGACAAAATGAAGACAAAGAAATGCCTGCATCATTCCCATCCCCAAATGTGTGTGCATGTGTTCAGATGAGAGGTAGTGTCCTGCCGAGAAGCAAGCCGAGTGCTTGATTGCACAGACGGGACATTCTCATTAGAATGGCTATTTTAGAAAATACGGGTGCAGCAATATGATGATTGTGCTCCTGACAGCATTAAGTCCACTGAAATCGCTGCATTTTTTAGGCACGTCTTATCTCCAAGATTCCTTGTGAACATTCACGGGAAAAAATGCACTGCAACACTATATTCGCCCATAATAAAGACCATATCAGAATAGTTGTTGATTTCTGTAGTTCACTTCTTCCTTTGTTAATATTTTTTAACGTTTGCTTATTTTTTTATTTATTTGTACTATTAAAATGATAAAATGGTCTTTACAATTATAAACAGGGAGTGACAGTAATTTATTGAAAATAGAGGTTTAATATGATTTAAAAAGAAATGTCAGAAATGGAACTGAGGATGGATTTAGGAATTTATGTGAAGATACTGTACATGCACATCTTTCACTTTATTTAGGTTTTGTGTTCTATAATAGCTTGAGTTGGGAGGCCTTCTATTGCTCATTCTGTGTCATCTTTCTTTTTGTGCAGTGGCCATGGCTATTAACCATCAAGCTGGAGCCTGATCAACCAAGCTTCTCTGGTGCTACACTAAATGGACACTCAGAATATGTCAACCGAGCACGAGAAAGCCCAACGGACTGCTTAACACTTGCTGTAAGTACGGATGCGCTCTGACTCTGCAGTGATAGAAAGTTCACTTATTAGTCAGACCAAGTCAAACCCCACGAGAGATTAACTCATCCTCAGTTCTGATTTTCAAAACGAATCATTTCCAAATTATGACCTATTGTAGTGAAATATCTCTCCCGCTCTCTAAACTCATGCCTGTTTTTTTTAATAACCTACATTTTTGTGCGCTGAATTTCTGAGCTAGCTTAATGCATAGACTACCCTTGAAGCATTATTAAAGTGTATATGTGACATTTTTCCTTACTTTCCAAGAGTATTACCAGAGTTACATATGAGCACTTGAGCTAAAGAGGAGAGCTCACCCTGTCTGTGTACAGACCCTCAAAATTCAGAGAATCACAGGTAAGTTTTCAATCATGGTTCCACGTACTAAATTGACACAGTTTTTGGTAGTATTTATGAATTTAAAAGCAGTCCAGTTGAGCTAAAGTTTTTTTTTGTTTGTTTTTTAAGATACCAGCTCTATATTCTACCATTTATATATATATCTGTAATCTAATTAAGGTTTAAACCTGATCAGTTCACTTTTTTGGTTTTATGACATTTGACTTTACTGGTTTTGTTTAGTTTCGTGCTCTTATCAGCTTCATTTCCAGCAGCAAATGATACTTTTTTAGAAATAACTTGATAAATCACACATTAACACTGAACAGCTGACAGAAATGTTTAGCAACGGTTAATATAAAGTTCCCTCGAGAGTTTGAAAGAACACTGCTGATTTGTTCATTGTGTGCTCTGTAAACATCTGTTTACTTATAACAACATAAGGCATTACTATGTCTTTTTTTGTGTTGTTCCCTTGCCTTTTCAGATAAGTGACTGTTACTTAGCGCAGATTCACATGAAGAGCTTTGACACCTCTGGTCGTGTTAAGACTGCTGCTTCATCGCTTCAGCCAGTTTATTTGTTTTACAGCTGCTAAACCGCAAACTTTCAGCTTTGTTGACTTCTCGCAATGCAGTTCACACCTGCTTTTCCTGTGATCAGAGGCCGTAGCTATGGCTTCATCAGTGACACTCATTTAATGCCCTGTGTTTGAAGACCTTTTATAATTGTGTAGCGTGTTTTCCCTGTCAGTCTCCCTTAATAAAATATTTGCATATGTGACTAGACAAGAACATGTTTCCGAGGCTGTGCGTCATGTTCAGAAGTTTCAAAAGCCATCAGATCAGATGTCAGTCTGCCGTGCCAGATGAGCTCTTCAGACAAAAAGGACACCATGTATAGCTATGTGCAAGTACTTGATATCAACAAGCTCACTTCTCATTCGAGGGCCGCGTGCGGACATTATCAGCAGATGTGGCATCGGCACGCACTCACACATACTCACGCCACTGTTTGATGCCGTTCCCCTAACAACACTGTCAAGAGCTCTCCCTCTACATCATAGTGATGCTGTCCAGAAACATATCTCAAATGGAGTTGCGGCTCTTTGAACTGTGATTTTGCGTTGATGTGTGCGTGCACTTGTCTGAGTGACTGCATATCTGTGTCTCTCATTTGCATGAGAGTTTGTCTCTTTGTGCAGGAGCACTTGTAGTTAAGTGTCTGTACAGTCATCCATTTCTTGTTTTTGTGTGTATATTCGTTTGCAACAGACACCCAAAGGACTGTCAGGTCAGTTGAGTGTCAAGTGAGCCAAATCCTTGGCACAGATTAACAGAGAAGGGTAGTGCCAGCCTGTGAGGGCAAGAGTAGTGGGAGCAGTCATAGCAATTAGGAACCAGCAACCTCAGCAGCCAGCCCTGCACTTACCCTGCCCGGCTCAGGATAACAGAAGAGACACACTCGCACAGACACATAGGCATGCATGGGGATGTGCTCACTACATGCCCACTTATAAGTTGGTAGCTAATACATATGCAACACTGCGCCAAACACCATCCATTAGGTGCAACGGGGGCTTGAGAGCGCTGCTAGAAGTGTCAAATATGCATGAGAGAGTGGAGGTCTGTGTCTCATAATCCCCGAGGCAATTAATACAATCGTTTCCAGGGCCAAGCACCTATGTGCACACATCTAACCGCTCTATGGGCTTGTTGAATTTTTTAGGTAGACTAATTTACAGATACGTTGGCCAGAGGCTAGCTTTTATTGATTGGACCCGTCTGGAAGCCGACGGCAAGCCATACATTGAGAATTCTCTACAGTGATGTATGAGGCTGTGGGGACAACACATTCACACTGTAAAGCACTGCTGGAAAACTGTGTTTAAAGATAAAAAGCATCCTCTCCACATACTTATGCTGTAGCAGTGATTGAGCTGTGATGCAGTGTTTGATTTGCTAAATTGAGTTGAAGTTAAATAGCAGTTTAATTGTTTAATTATGACAGGCTGTGAAATCGTTTTCCGCTGAGACTTATACCATGTAAAAATCCACACAACACAAACATGACGTTTGTAGACACAACCGTCACAGAGAATTCAATTTTTCATTTATTTTTCTGGTTTCCATCGCATTGCCGGTCCTGCAGAGCGTGGCGTCATTTTCAGTGTATTGTAAAGCATTTAATATTACCTCGCTTTTTGTTGTTGCTCCTGCAGATGTTTTAGCCCCCCAGTCAAATATTGATTGAAATGCTCGGCCCAGTACGAGGCGAGGGGAGGGCTGATATTCAGAGGCGTTCAGTTGGTGGGGAAGCATTATTGATTGCACTTAAAGTGACAAGATGGAGGAGGCCCACTTTGACACATTATCCCTATTGCTGCCAACAGACAAAGTGCGGGCCAGAGGAGCAGTGCCGATTGATTTGTGTGATCATGAACGCCCTGAGACCCATGAATCAGTTGTCCAACCTGTCCTGCTTAAAAAGAAGTCAACTATTTTTCATGACAACATTGTAACGTAAGGACTGGCACCCTATTTGATTTAAAAAGGCAAGCAAATACCGCAGTAATGAATGATCTTCATGCACATTCTGACAAGGCGAAAAGTCCTCACACCTCTGGCAATAATACCTAGTGTGTAAAGCTGGTTTGAGAAGGCAGGTATTGTGGGCAGCTGGTTCAGGCATCTATGGGATTTTGTTGTGCATAATTCACTGGTGAGGCATGAAGCTGATATAGCCTCTCCCAGTCTTATGATCATCCATCAGGTAAAATTGCTTTCTTCTAACATTAGGCTGTCAACGAGAAATAACAAATGTAGCCATGCAGAGCAACACATGATTACAGGGTAATAATGCCCCGAGGTCAGAGAAATGTGACCTCATTCAGAGTAGTTTGTTGAAGGAAGCAAGAGAAATACTAGTCAAATTAGATGAAAAGTCACCAGGGAATGGCTCATCTTGCTTTGAGGTAACTGCTGTCAGGAGGCCCACTAGCTTTTTTAAAATCACTGTAACAGCTTGTTTCATATAATTAAAAAAAAAAAACCCATCCATTTTTGACTATGTGCTTAAAGAAAGTAGTCGAGCAAATATGAGCTTTGACCACCGCTCCAAAACATCTCTTGCCAGTAGCAGAGGGCTATTTTGAGCCACATCTTTGCTCTGATTGCTATTGTGTAAATCCATCACTATAATCTTCCAGGAAATTGCACAGGCATTTCCAGAGGTCTAATCGAGATATGGGTTCGCTGTCAGATTGAGTAGGAGTAAGAATAAAGAGGAAAATTAAGGAGAGTCGAGACAGATGGAATGAAGGCGTATATATTCAAGTTGCACATTTTTAAAAGTAAAATATAAAGAGATGCTTGGGAGGGTTGTGATGGGTTTGCGGAGAAGGGGAAATTAATAGGTAAACAAGATATAGCAATTTAAAGGAAGGAAAAAGGGGGGAAAAATGTTTGACACGCTTCAGTGATCGCAGATTCTTCCATCCCAATGTGCCTCTTCCTCTGTGTCGCCTGCAGGTCTCTGGTTTCCATGTGCTGCATAACCAATTACCCATGACAATAAGATAAGGATAGCCAGCTGCAAATGATTAACATGCACTAAACAAACACCTCCTGGATTCATAAGACAAAATTTGGATGCATGTAAAAAAAAAACTAAAAAAAAAAACATGCAAATATAAGAGCCACAATGAACTGCAGGACAAGCATAATGCACGTAATTTTTCTGTACTCACAACACAGTGTAATGACAGGAGGCTCTGCAAAACCAAACACCATGGCTTTACATCACAGCAAGCACGGTCATGTGTGAGCTTAAACTGTGAGGTCTAAATGGTGTTCTTCTTTGCAGAGAAGAGCTTAAAGGGCATTTTAATGAACTAAGCATATTGCAGTGGCATTCGATGTCACAGCAAAGTGAAGAATATGCTGTGTTCCCTACAAAGAAATTCAATGACATGGAAGTAATGGAAGCAAATCTGTGCACTGATAATATTGTTAACTTGAAACCAAAGTGAGATTTTCCTTGCGCTGGTTTCCAATCAAGTACAACTGTGGTGCAATTCACAGACTTTGCATAAAAAAGTCCTTCACCCTGAAGAACTAGAGTTCAGTTCATGTCCTCTATTACCATAGAAAAACTGAAACAAGTGGCTGAGAGGCACGTTCCTACTTGATAAGTTAGATGTGACAGCAGGCTCTGCTCCGCCCCGGGTAGTTTAGTGTGCGCTTGTGAACAAATACCGCAATGATGTGCAAATGTATTCTTATAACAACTTTACGCTGTTTAAAATTCCACCTTTGATTCATTTTATTTGTTACCTACAGTTTTTTCTCTCATCTGCTAATCAAAACGCAGGGGGGCTTTGGGGAATTTATGTGCATATATACATCTTTAATATTACCAGTATGAATTTCTGTGACATGGTAATATATTTTAATCATCTTAGGATTTTAGTGATTCAAATGAGCAGGTTTTCCAGCTGGGTGGGATTAGCAAATGTACAGGGTGCTTAAACTGTGTGCAGGATTGTGCCATTGTCTGTGCAAGTGCTAGTATACTTTATTTTGTGTGTAAATACTTGTGTGAATAAGCATCTGACCCTGTGTGGTTCATTTCCCCTGCTG